AATCGAACCGGGCACCTCTGGGTGGGATCTCCCACTGCCCTACCAAACCACCCGGCCAGGGGCAAGGAAGAGGGAAGCAAAACCCCTTGCACGCCGGGGCGCCCAGCCAGCGCGAGCCCACACCGCGCAGCTGCGCAGTCGGACGCGCCGGGCGCTGCCAGGCAGGCAGCCTCCAGGCAGCTTCTGCGCGGGCCATCATGCATGCCACCGTTGATGCAGCCACCCACAACAACTTTCCCCCGAGTTCGTCATTCTCCGCGGGCCCTCCTCAGGATTCCCACCAGTTGCACCCTCCACGTAAGAGCGCTTCCCTCGGGTCGCGCCCAAACAAAAAGCACTTCTCACGGGCGCGCAGCAGCGAGCCCAGCCGATACCCTACTTAGCAACCAAGCCCCCCTTCGGCGATCGCATGCCCGGCTCCCTCGCGGCGGCGTCAATTATGGTGCCTGCTGGGAGGGCCAAACCGCCGGGCGCCCGAATTGCACCGCCCGCCATCATCATGGCCTCGAACGGCCGACTGCAGGCTCGAGCCGGCGCCGCTGCGGCCAACTGGGATCCAGCCCGCTGGGATCGACGCCGGCAATTGCCGGCGATCCGATCCCCTCTTCTCAAACCCAGCCACGATTGGGGGCGGCCCATCGATCGATGGGCCGCGAGGGGGATGGGCAAAGATGCCGAGGGCGGCTGTGCTGTACAGAGCGTGTGGATCGGCGGCGCTAGCGCTGATCGCCGCCCACGTGGTGGTTTACCGCCTGGGGGCGTTCAGCCTCAGCGTGGGCATCGTGGCGATTGACACCAGTTCGTTGGTGGCCGATCGGCCGTGTTTGCCCCGATGTTCTTCCCCGAGTCGGCAGGGGGCGGCCCCCGGTAGTGGGAGCCCAGCGATCGGCCTCAGGCTCTGGCGGGGTCCTCAGCATCTCCAAACCGGTCTCATCGTCATGAAACCTGACCTGTCAGGACGGGTTGACATCTTGCCACGACGGCACCAGCACGTGGAGGTCCCTGGGTAGGGTCCGCCCGCGGTAGGTCTGGTGGGTTATTCTGGGCATGCGAAGCGCAGGCAGTGAGGGGGTTCCCGGACTGCTTGGACGTGTGCGTGTCCCTGGGAAAGAGCGTGGAGAAATCTGACATCTTTGGGGGTGCATGGTGGTGCTGCGGTATGGGGGAGTGGGGGTGGAGGTTGCTGCCGAGGGTGGCCTTTGGAGTGTGCACCCGGCCAGTGTGGACAGCCTGACAGTGAATTCGGCGGGGATAGTTGTGCAGCATCACTTCCTGGAGTCGCGGAAGTTCAGGTGGGGTTTGAGGAAGAAGAGCCTGGCGTCAGAGGCGAGGGGCGTTCAGGGCTCAGGGAGGGACATCTTTTCAGTGGGCGTGTCATTTCACCCGCCGTTCAGCATGTTCGTCAATCTGAAGGGGCAGGGGGATGTGCAGAGCGGGGCGGATGCGAGCGAGGCGCTGTCCCTGTGGGGGGGATGGGAGGCAAGGCTGGCGCCCACGCGGGGCCCGAGGGTGGTGGACGTGGTTTTCGGTCCGCTGGGATCGGCGATCAAGGACCTGGTGCTCGTGGATGTTGGGGCGGGCTGGGGCTTTTCTCTCTGGCGGCCGCAGCAGCGTAGGGGCACTGGGGGGATCGCCTTTGAGGCCTTGGCCAGCTTGCTGCTGGCCCTGAAGCAGAGCCTGAAAGCCAACGGGCTCCAAGACCTTGTGGACGTGCAGCCCATGCTGCGGGCCCACAGGAATGAGACGATCTGTGTGGACCACCCTCTCTGTGCCCTGCCCAAGTCTGCTAAATTTGATAAGGACTCGGATCAGGCGGCAGATGGTGCAGACTTCAGGAGAGGCCATGGAAATCGCAGCATCCACGGCATGATGGAGGGGTGCTGGCGGGTGGTGCTGTGCGGCACCCTGGACTTGTTGCTGGGTGAGGAAATGCGGATGGGGGCCCTGAAGGTGAGCACAGGCAGTTGGGGTGGATGGATGTCGGAGGTGGGGTTGGAGCTCATCAGGCGCCAAATGCCAAATGCAATCCACCAGGAGAGCAATGTGTGCGATGCGTGTAGTTGGATACACTGAGCCTCATGCAGTGCTGGCCAACTGCATGACATGGGTTACAAGGCGGCATACCATGCAGGGCCTGTGTGGTACGAGCGGTGGTTCAACAGTATCCTCAAGGCAAGGATCAAGGGCCGTGGTGGACATGCTCAGGCAGCCCATGTGGTGCATCCTTCCACAAAAGGACTTCAAGCTTCTGATCGAGTGGTGCCACCCATGGTCGGCGGAGAATGTGTTGTTCCTTTATCATGACAGCCAGGGCAGGAGACTAGACTGGGTAGCCGAGCCAGCAGGTGGTTTGGGAAACACAGGGGTGCCTGAGGGCAGGCATGCATTGCCAAACAAGCCGGTGGAAGGCATGCCTGTCGAAGGGATGTTGGATGGGATGCATGCAGCAACAGGAAAAGGCATGCTGCCAAGCAGTGGCTGAGGAAATGGTGGAGGGAAAGGGATGTTTTTGAACCTGCAAGGTGGGGCTAGATGGACACTGTTTTGACTGATGTACCTGTCAGTGCTCCCACACATGCACATCCCACCTACAATCATGTGCATCTAGGAAATGGAACTCCTCTGAGCATAGGCTGGTCCATGCACCCTGCTATTCCTGTCGATGTGTGGCAATGGCCAATTCCTTGCCAAATTCCGGAACCCTTGATATACCCATCCAGGGACACAGGCTGTTATGGTCCTAACATGCTTCAATTCCTCTGCAGAATGGCTTGCGTGTGTGACATTGTAAAATTAACATGGATCTGTTGTTGTCACTGTGCAATCTGCACATCTGCCATCCATTTTGAACCCCTTCTTAGGCAGCACGCATAGCACTTGATAATGCAAACAGCTGTAGGTTCGCCCATTATGAGATATAGGAAGGACTATTTTACCCATCCGATGGGTAGTCGGGAGGGTCACCCAAGCAGTCTGAATTGGCAGCACATTCCAGTCGGCTTGGAATGTTACGCAACGGGATCAGTTTCCCTCAGAGGCCAGGTATTGAAGGTGCACTTGCGTTGCATGCCGCCACAGCTTCTTAGAAGTACGCCTGGGCACGCGTGCAATAGGAATGGCAGAAAACCGGTCTGATATCGACACGAGAGTCGCCGACGAAGGAGCCATGTCCCCAAAAGTATTTGCTGTAAGTGTTTCACTAAGGGAAGACACTATTTTGATTCTGTTACACTTAGTGGCAAATAAGCTTAGACCCCTCCCCTCTCTTAGCGTCAATTCTTATTTTGACACTTTCGCGCAATGCTGAAGAGCTGCATATTGCAGCACCCGAAAAATCACCTTCGTTTCCACCATACCACGTCCCCACAGCGCCACAAAGGTTGGCGCAACGCGACATACAGTGTCAATTGCTGCAGTCTGGTGCACAATCGTTTTCGCAAAACGATCATCATCATCTGAAAGCGCTTCTCAGCCACGTTTGCAACCCCTCGCGCCCCAATCTACCACGGACCAACCCACAATCCCATTGTAGACCATCCTGAACTGGAGTCAACGCCTGACTCAGAGGCTGACCTGTAGATCCCACGCCGTCAGGATGGCGTGGAGTTCTGTGACGTGTGGCCGCCCACATGAGCTTTGCTGCTGGGCAAACAGCGGACTCTGAACAGCTCGCGCACGTAAACAGAATATTGGGCTTGTTGTGCAATACACATATTGGGTTGAAGAAAATGTTCGCGGCCCGAACTCTGCCGCTAGCGTCAATGCGATGTCAATGCTGGAAACGAAATTCCGCGGGGGATAGCGCGCGAAGGCACCTCAAACGCATGAGCTGGTACATGGAGAGACCAGTGGGGGTGGCAGGCGGTGCCAGACGCCTCCAGGCATGGCGTCCCGCCCAGATCCTGACAACACCGGCTCGGTCGTGGTGGCTGATTGGTGGCGACTTCACGGCGATCTAGCCGGCGCACTGGGCCGCCACACCAAGTGGTCGCCACGGCCGGCAAACCTGCGGCGTGCATCTATGGTGTTGACCCACTTGCCGCCTCAATCACCGGTCAAACGGTCAATCGCAGAGCAGCCGAGGCGCTGTTAGCAAACGCGTCGGCTGCCCCGCCTTGTGCCTCGCCCACGACTGAACATTCTTCTGCATGGCCCTTCCCATCTCAGAACGGAAAGAAGGCAAGAAACAATAAACTGACAAAGAAACCTGAATGATGAAGTGTAAGAGACGTAATGCAAAAGAAGCCGTCCTTTGCTCTCCATCCAGTTTTTGGACGAAGAGTTGTGATTTTCAACAGCAAGGAACAGTTAACAAATTTAACTCCTGGGGAACACTTTATTGCCTGCGTTTCGGCAATGTATCGAAGGCAAGAGTCAGCAGGCGTATCCACCACCTCTGGCAGGAGGCCGCAGGCCTCATCTCGTAATGTGGATTTGTTCAAGGAATGTTTGGGTCACGCTCTCCAATGAAGTACACAAACGATGCCATTAGTGCCTTTTCAGATTGTTGGATAGACCTGCGACTTCGAAGACTCCATAGTCGGTTAATGCATTACATCAATTCTACATGGTGCACAAATGCACGCTTTTGGCCTGCCATATAACGTGCTGTTCATTTCCAGGATCGGCCACCAAGACCCGTCGATTCAATATCGAGAAGATGTATATGGATGTGAGGGCATTTATAGACGGTTAAACTCACAGATGCTCCAGCTCCTCCAGCAGACAGATGTCGGCGTAAATTCCATGATGCCCAAGTGGTGCAGGTACAACTTCTCCACCTGATCGGCTGCGCCGCATGTCACCCTGAAATTGTCACAATCCAATCCGACCCATTGAAAAACAATGTCACTCTCGGTGAGGTCACCAAAAGCGCTGCCATAGGCCTAGGCAGTGGTGAGGAAGGCAGGGGAACGGACCCAAACCGATGGGGAGACAGCCCGCCCAAGGGTCATGTTCGGGTTAGTAGTCGTGATATGATATGATATGATATTGTGTTATATTACTTCCTCTGTTCGGAAATAATTGTTCTCTATTTGAGAGACAAAACTCGTTACAAGGATAACCTAAACCTTTGAAACAATACCAGAATTAGTCCCAAAACACTTAAACACCGAGCTTCAAGAAAAAAAATATTTAGATCCGCTCCCGTTGGAGGGCCCCCCAAAATTGTCCAAAATTCGTCCAAAACATGTGCATGCTGCTCCCGCATCTGCTAGGGAACCACACGGTTCTGGGTCACTCCCGTCCTAGGTGTGCCAAAGACAAGTCGCTGCAGCCTTTGCGGTGAACGGCAGCATCCATTACATGGAATAGCACTTGCCAGACATGCTTGACATGTTTGGATCCCCATCGTGGAAGGCCATCGTTGCAGCACCGACGATTTCTGAAATCTCGGCCGTCCTTGGTCTCTGACGCATGGGCATTAAGCAAGCGGACAAGGCTAGGGTCCAAGGTCTTCAAGCTTAGGCTATGTGTGAGCTGCCATTCTGAGGTTATATAGTAGACTTGATTGGACAATATGCCTCGATTGAGGCTTGAATTCCTGCTTTTGTTGGTAGCCTGGGCCGTATCCAACAAATTGGCACAATCTACCAACTCTTAGGTGCAGTCCACAATCCACTGTAGCCCAACAAGTGCGCTTACCTTTGAAAGACATAACTTATCCATTTAGCTAGTCTTCTCAAGCTCAATCCCTCCAAGGGCCGAAAAATGGTCGTTTTGTCATTCCCGTCCAGGAGGGCCATTTCCTAATTGTCGCCCAATTGCCTGCTGCGGAATGGGGTGATGGCCAGTACATTCCCTGGGCGTCTTCGAAGGACTTGAGAGGCCTCCTGTGGCATGCCTCATAGTGGAGTTAGAGATCCCAAAGTCGTGGTCCAGAAAAAGGGTTTTCAAAACGTGTTTTCTGTTGCCCTTCTCCTTTGCAAGCACCTCCACGATCTTCTATCCAAACGGCATGGATAGTTTTGTAGGGCGGCTCTGCAGCGCTGCTGCAAAGGCTTGCTCTTCAAACAACCAAAAATGGCCGTTCTAGCAGTGATGTTGCAAAACGGATGGGTTTTTGGCAGGATGGCATTGGCTACAAAGTGGTGCCAAATCCTCAATACTCAACGGATTGACTTGAAATTGTGAACACATACTCTCAAAATATAAATGCAGCTTTATAGCACATCTGAAAATTCGGCAGGCGTCGATGCTATGTTGATGAGGGTTGATGCAAGGGGGCCACTGAACCAGTGGCTCTCAATATTGTTGAACTGCCCTTGGAACAATGGCTCTTGGCGTCAGCTTTTATCCCTCCAACAAGGCATCTTGATGCAGCATTCTCAAACAAGCAGCATTCCAGCAATGCCGCATCAACGATCCACTGAGCAGCCTGGATGTGCATCCAGAAATTTGGCAGGATTTGATGCACCATTGATAGGCCCTTGGATCAATGCGCAACTTCAGAGCTCGTGTCTGTGGAACGGCGTTCATAGCATCATGTGATCATAATCAATAATTTACTATTAGATAGTTCATCAATTCATTAATGAAACAATTGAGCACCACTTGACTACGAAGTGTCACTTAGGGCCGCGATTTGCTCCTCCATGCTGGGCCGTGTCTCCATTTGCACTGACTTCACTCAATTTATTGCAAGGATTTGCTTGACGGCGAGCACTGTGGAATAGACGCGTGCCTCAATACTGGCACATACCCAAGGGCCACTTCGGGTCCATGGGCCCCATGAACACTGTGAAGACAGGTACACGCGCATTCTTGACTAGTCCTCAAAACAGCTTCCGCAACGGGATGGAAGTCACCAGATGCCCCAATCAAATGCAGTGGTCAATATCTGGCAGGTTTCAGATCCACAGTTGGTCTAACTCACAGGCGCAGATAAATATGCACAGATAATACGGTAATGGACAGAAAGATACGGACAGAAAATGCACCCCATGATGGTAATTAAGACCAGGAGAAACGAATCATAGAACACAGCGTGCGTGCGTGCCCCCTGAGATGTTGTCAAAACGACGATTCACTCAGTGACAGACAATTGTAAAGATCTGTGCCAGAACATGGCA